TGCGGGTAGCGTAAGTCTTTGTGGTGGTCGTGTTGATCCGCCTGAGGTACGGCATTAGTGAGTCGTGATGGTCCAGTATGAAGAGCTTGTTGTTCTCGATGGCCTGTGGTTTTGCAATCATTGATTATGATGTCGATTTTACCATGTTTTACTTGGATTTTTGGTGGTTTTGCTGAAGAAATGGCAGTTTTTACCTCTTTTTCGAACTTTTTCTTTCTGTAATTATGATAAGCACCCCTGGGGTTTTAGTATTTTACAAGAGGACCCGAAGAAGTTTTCTAAAGTTACAAAAGTGCCTCTTGAGTTTTGATAATTTGCCTCTACACATGCAGAGAACATATAAAGATTCCCAGCTTGTTTTGTAACTAACCAAGACTTTCAGTTGTTTTTTTTCTTAAATAACTCCTTTTCTATTTCTTTCAGAATGTGAATACAGCATGAAGTGGCACAGCAGAGAAAGAATATTACTTGTTCCACAGTGAGCCCATTCATGTTTTTCTCAACATCCTCCCTTGTGATGGTACTATCCTGATTGCCATACTGTGCACGGTCGAGTTTGCTAGTCGGCGGAAACTCCTGTGAGGTGAAATTCATACATTTTTTTCTTTTTTTGGGTACATTAAACTTAAAAACGAAAACAAGGATCAAAAACTCTTTTTTACCAGTAGACGTCGAATAACAACAGGGTTCACCCCAGCCAGCATTTCACGTCCGAACTCTTCATCAGTCCTCCATGCTGTTCTATCCTCTTCATAGACCAATCCCAAACAAAATTAAAAAAAAAATAGATAAATAAATCTCAAATACCAATTTTTAAGATTTATTGCATGAACAGAAAAAGAAAATTGCTTAGTTGAATTACCTTTTATGACATCAGGCATTGGGAACTTGAGAAACCGTTCCCCGTCCGAACGGACGAGCTCCCTCACCAGCTCCCACGGGACGTGCTCTCTTATTTTACTCAGCGTGTGGCCATCGGGCAGCTTAATCCCTCCCTCGTACAAGTCGAGCACGTCCTGGAAGGAGTCGAACTCGTTGATCGTTTTGTCAAACACAGCCTTAACCTCAGGGATCAGTACTTGACCGAGAGACTTAAGCGCATACGCAATGAAGTCTGAAAACTTGATTTGAGTGAACCTATCGTCTCTCGGGACATAAAAGTTCAGATTTAACAGGAACAGTCGGCTCTCGGTATTCGGATCTGCAAAAAAAATCTAATTTTCAGATTATTACCTAAATACAATAATAATAATTGTAAAGGGGAAACAAATAAAAGATTCCTAGCTTCTCTTGGAGGAAAGTAATACTGTGCTTTTCCCCTAGAAGAAGTAAATTTGTTTTCCTTTTTACACTTTACAGTTTTACCTTTTTTGTTAGGTGGACGACCTGTTCTTCCTCGACGAGGGTAGGGATACTGTGGGCCACCGAGCACGGGACGTTCGTAGTCTTTTCCTTTTTCGGGGCTTCCCAAATCGTTGTAGTATGCATAGTCGTACACTCGGTCCCATTCCTTTAAGACACCGGACCCTTTTCCCCGGAGGTTTACGAGCTCTTCATCTCTGTAAATGCGCAGAGGCTCGGGTGTGTCGCATGGAAGGTACGCCTGAAATAGTACATAAAAACAAAAGAAGAATTATTTCACTAAAAAGTAAAAACACCCATTTTAAGTTTTACTGCAAACATCCCCTTCAGGCTTGCATCTTCTACACGAAATTCCAAGAGTGAAACCGGCTTTTCTTATTTCACAATCTAACCATCATCAGTGATTCATTTTGTTACTAAACCTAAAATTTACAATACATAAAAAATCTGCTGCATCACTTCTTGAGGACTCAACTGCAACATCATTAATCACTTTATTTACTTAAAACAACATAAGACAATCATCAATTTTCAGCCACAATCCTAGGAAAAAAGATAAAAAAACGATTCAAGAAACAAAGAAATACCTTGTTCGTGAAGAAAACTCGATCATACTTGTATCGGTGTGCAGGATAAACCCAGGAATTACACTCAAAGTGGACTTGTCCGTGTCCCGGCACATCCTCCAGAGTAACCGTCTTAAGGTAAAACTGACTGTGATGATGGTTTCGGATTAAGAAGGCACCCGGAACACCAATCGACTCGTCCCACTCGAACGTGATCCCGAACGAGGCCTCGTCTTGAGCCGCAAGCGAGGTGATTTTCGAGACCCAATCCTCCAAGTACGCTTCTTTCCCTAGCTTACCTTTTTCTCCATTCACTACACCAACATAAAGTTAAAAAAAAAATGAAGATCAGACTTAAAAAGAAAAGAATTCAAGAAAAAATATAAAAAATTCTAAAAAAAAAAAAGGCTGCGCAGGAGGAATATTTCTACTTAACATAAAGAATAAACAATCTTGCTGATATCAAGAAAAATGGCTCCCCCACATGCACTCTGTGTAACTAACTAACTAACCCGGGTCGCTGTTAACGGAGCTGATGAGCTGCAAGGCCACGCCTTTCCCAAAGAGCTCGTGAAAACGATCGAAAATCGAGGCCTTCAAATCCGTCACGTCCATGGCATTGTTCTTCGTAAGGACGACGGTGCCTTTGATCTTCCTCCGCCCGTTCTTGGGCTCGTCCCTAATCTTCCCACACACCATACCCAGTAATTTCTCAAGCATCTCTGTGTTCTCAAAGACAAATAGTTAAGAATAATATTCAAAACAAAACAGAGTGAATTAAACAGTTGAGGGGACTGGTGCAGCACCAAAAATGTACCTGCCTTTTTTTTTATTTTTTTTATTTTCCCTTTTTTTTATTTATTTTGAGAGACAATTTTGTTGTGTTAAGGCTTTAAGAAGGAAAATTATGTTGGTATTGTGATGGGATTCTTGAATGTGAATATGACTGGAAATTTGAACTTGCAAGTGAGAGGGGTCTTTATAATGAATGGAGGTTGCAGAATGTTAAAAGAGGAAATTTTTCCACGTTGGTTGATCCCACATGTTCTCTTTAATTTTTCTTTTTATATTTTTAGTTATAAACCTTATATTATTAATTTTTATTTAAAGTGTTATTTGTTTTATTTAAAGTGTTACTGGAATTGGGAACGAGTTTGTTGGATTGGACCATTGGGTAGATATTTGCTTTTAATTCTTGGGCTTGCTTGGTTGTCCACACATCTTTTTTCTTTTTTTTTTACTCGAGGCATTGAATTATTTTTTGTTTGACCACATACAAGTTTTTTCTCGTATAAATGTGTAGAGATGGATTCAAATGGGAATTGAGTTCAATGAAATGAATTAGGATAAATCGTAGTTGTCAGATCGAATAATTCAATGACTGAAAAAAGATTAACATTTACAAGGATTAAGGACACACCCCACCCCACCCACCTTACCCTCTCACACACATATACACACACCGCAGATCGAAACTCCTCCTATCGTCCGCCACCGTCAGTCCCGCCGTGGCCACCCAAACTCCACCGCCTTCCTCCACGCCGCCTCTCAAACTCTAGTTGCCTCTCCAATCAATGTTGGCGTCCGCATGTTCTCTACACTATGATCCGCGAGCTCTGACCGCAATCAAAATCATCGCTTACAGCATTTTCTGATGTGAATTCGGCGCGGTTCGGACCGCGAGAGTTTAGAGGCCGAAATCTGACCACACGAGAAGAAAATCACCAGCGTCGTCGAGCTCGGAGAGTACCTCCGCAAGCGCAAGGAGTAGACCGGCGAAATCGAAACCAAAATAGATGAACACAAAACTGAAATCGATGAACACGAAATCGAAACAAAAATCGTGAAGATGTGGTCGACCGGTGAGGTCTTTATAAGGCTGAGAACAGTCGGGTTGTTCACCAGCGCCAAGGGCGAGCTTCTTCGATTGATTTGAAGCTCATAGGCTTTGGCGACAATTCTGATTTGGAATTGGGTGGTTTTTTTTTAAAAAAAAAATTGATGAATATTAGGGAATTACCATTTATTTCATGTGTCAAATTTATAATTTAACAAAAAAATAATAGTTGCACAATAATGTTCAGTGCAATACACAATATAACATTTGAAAATGCAAATTAAAATTATCGCTCTAGAGAATGCACAGTAGTGTCAGAGAAATTGTTCATTAGTGCTTGTGAGATTGCACATTAGCGTAACAATGTATTCTGCGCAATGACTAAAATATTTTGCATAAAAATATCAAAAGTTAATATATTTACAAATATCACCGCCTCTTTGGCCAAGCTAGACCCTTTGACCGTGCCTAGAGCATTGATATATCACATTCAACCGCTATGGTCCATTCTTGTTACTTTCAGTGTGTCCCTTTCTTATATAATCCTACTTCTATATGTATATAGACATATATCTATATAGGTTACGATACATATGAATAGAATTATGATATATTATGAATAGACAGTATTTTCATGGATTTTTTATTTACTATAATAGAAATTTTTATTAACATATATATAAGGATATATATAAGGGTAAAATACTTTTTCCCATCCGAACTATCACAGTTTTGGCGCATCACCATATAAACTATTTTTTTTACAAACCACCATATGAACTATACGAGTTTGTCAATGTGCCCCTAAACCGGATATAAAAGTGGTTTTGACTGAAAAAAGTTGTTTTTAATGGCATTTTAGTAATTTCACATATGTTTTCAGAAAATAAAAAAAAAATGAAAAAAATGAATAAGTTGATTTCAAAAAATAAAAAATAAAATGAGAAATGAGGCTCGTTCCAAAATGCCTTGGACAAAAAATACCTGCTACGCCACCGGAACCCCCGCCGGCCTGCACTGTCGCCGGCCCCATCACCGCCTCCCGTTCGCAGTAGAAACCGATGCATGCGACGACAGTTGAGGGCACATCACGTCGAGCTCATTGTTGGTACGTGGTGGGAGGTGGTGGTGGGGCCGACGACGGTGCAGGTCAGCGGGGGCTCCGGTGGCGTAGCAGGTATTTCTGGTCCAAGGCATTTTGGAACAAGCTTCATTTTTTATTTTCTTTATTTTTTATTTTCTTTATTTTTTATTTTATTTTTTGAAACCAACTTCCTCATTTTTTTTTCATGTTTCTTTTTTTATTTTCTGAAAAATGTGTGAAATTACTAAAATGCCATTAAAAACAGCTTTTTTCAATCAAAACCACTTTTATATCCAGTTTAGGGGCACATTGACAAACATGTATAGTTCATATGGTGGTTTGTAAAAAAAAATAATTTATATGGTGATGCGTCGTGATAGTTCGGATGGAAAAAAGTATTTTACCCTTTATATAATTTTTATTACTTTGATTGTACGTCATTTATGAAAAATGTAGATGGTGTATTATATTAATTTTTATCTATAATTTTAGTTTTTTAGTTAATTAATAAAAAATAATCCAATAAAATACCACGAGATTTTTTTTTTCCAAACGATATAAACTCATATCACAAAATAAAAGAACAATCGGAGGACTCACTAGTCCTTACAAAAACAAATGGAGAACCACTCATTCCAGGTGGCCTAGACCAAACACCAACAAAGCACTAAAGGAATAGACAAAGCTATGAGACTTACAACACCGCCAAACTAAACCAACACAAAACCAAAACTAACACGAAACACCCCCCAACAGAGTAATGAAACGACCCCCAACGGAGTAATGAAACAACCCCCAACGGAATAATGAGATACAGAGGCCAACCGGCCCAAACCAAAAACACAGACCTAAACAGCACAAACACTGACAACAAAAAAACAAAAGCTAAAACAGAAGAAAAAAACACAAACTAAAGATAGATAATAATGCCCTTCCACAGCAATAAGCCGGTCCTAACCAACGGAGAACAGCCGAATCAAAGCATAGTCCAAGTCCAAGGGACGACGCCCGAAACTACCACATTGTTTATTGTGTTTTTGTCGTTATTTTTATGTGTTTTGTGTGCTTTATTTTATAGTTTTAGGCTCATTTTAGTGTCGACCGATCCATTTTATCGTGTTTTGTGTATTTTTGTTATTGTATAGTGTTTTCGTATTTTTGTGCGTTTCTCTTTTGTTTTGGTGTTGAATAGGTCCAACTTGGCGAGAACGAGGAGACGAGCCATCCGAGCCGACCGAGCCGACCGAGCCGTCCAACCAGAAAATCCGCCCAAGCCATACCGAGACGAAGAGATTTCAATTAGGAGAATATGGGTCCAAGTTTCGTGCGAATTGGAGTTGTGTGCGAGAAGTTAGAGCAAATCGAGCATCAAGAGGTCATGGGACCATTTCCAGCCCGCGAAAACGATTTTGTGCCCGCGAAAAGCCTGTAACCCGCAAGTTCGGCTAGAGCATGTCCAGAGGAGAAATTTCGAGCCCGCGAAAATGAAGCCCTATCCCGCGAAATGCCCGCAACCCGCGAGTTCCCTTCTGCTAGCGAAAACAGCCCGCGAGTTTACTCCCATATCCCGCGAAAAGCTCCTAACCCTCGAGTTCACTCCAGCCCGTGAATTTTGTCTGCGAATTTGTCTCCTATCCCGCGAAAAGGCCTTACCTCGCGAGTTACGCATTGTGCATGGCCAGAGAACAAAATTCGAGCCTGCGAATCCAAGGTCCTATCCTGCGAACGCATGCTACCCCGCGAGTTCAACCCTTGCTAGCGAAACTAACCTGCGAATTCGAAGACCCAACCCGCGAGTTCGACTTATCTAGCGAGTTTTCCTCATTAAATGTGTGTGTGTGTTTGTGGTGTAGCTATAAATAGACATCTTGCTTTGTAATTTGAGAAGAATTCCTCATTTGCTAAAATTTTCTTTTTAGTTTTTGTTCTCTTCTCTCTCTAGTTTTCTTTCTCTCTCTAAGGGCTCCAAGACCCTATTTTTATTGTAATATTTCTCCATCAAAATTACAACTTTTTGGCTTATTTCTTCTCGTGGATGCACTAGAGACTTGGAGACTTCGTTTAAGGTTCATGATTTCGTAAGTCTTGCTCGTCTTTACTTATTGGATTTATTCTAGGGTTAAGATTGGCACATCCATGAGTCGATTATGCTACCATCCTCGTAGGCTAGGGATTATGTGATATTGTTCTTGATTGCGTGAGCAAGAATTGGTTGAGAGGTTAATTGATCACGAGTGACTTTGGCTTGGTTGCATATTCCCGAACCTATGAGGGCCTTCTTTCCATCTCGGGTCTAGGAGTACCTTGTTCTTTTTCTCTTTATTTTCCTTTTTATTGCAATTTGAGGTGTTGCTTGGGATAAAGTTTGAATCTTGCTTTATTTTTTGCTTAAATTGCGTTCTTAGCTTAATCCGAACTCCAAATCATGCGAGTAGAATGTTTAGGATTTTTGTTTTCTTTTTTGTGTGATTCGATCGTTGCTTGAATCCGTGTCCGAATAGCTTTCCTTTGAGAACGACCCGAGTCCGGATAACTCAGTTACCAACTACCCAAAATACTACAAACAAAATGGCGCCGTTGCCGGGGAAGGCGAGTAGGCCATTGGATTTAGACAATTGATTGACATTTTTTTTGTATTTCTCTTGCTTTTTGTGATCCTTGCTTAATTTTGTGTGTTTCTCTTGCGTATTTGCTTGTTTTCGATTTCTCGTGCTATTTGGTGTTCGAATTCTTGTATATATTGTGTCGTGTTATTCGTGTTTTGTGTTATTTTGTCTTGGTCTCGTGTGTCTTGGTTTGTTTGTTGTTCTTGTGCGAGGTAATCTGCTCGAGGAGCTCCGATGGACCCATATGATTATTTCTATGCCGGAAGCTCGTCTCGTGGACACCCCGACAATTACCAAGAGGATATGTACACAACATATGGGGAGCCATCTTGTTTATATCCGAGTTATTCACCTTCTTACTCTTATGACGGATGCTCTACTTCCCATGGGTATGGCCCGAGCCATTTTTACCCGACATCTCGAGCCGATTATGTTTATGACATTCCGGGTCACGACGAGCCGCCTTATGTCAATCCTCCACCTCCGGACTATTACTATCCACCGCCTCCCGATTATGAAGGAACACCTCCACCCGAGCCACCTCGAGGAGTTTCTTGAGTCAATTTGGACGAGATCATGGAGCATTTAGAGGAGTGCAATCGATCCCTTCATGCTTCAATGGCCCCCATGTCCGAAAAGGAAGAAACCGAGACATTTGTTTCATCCTCTCCATCATTTGAGCACCTATCAGTTGGCCAACCATGTACCTCGAGTTCCGAAGCTTCAATTCCAACAACGGTTGTGCCTTCCGAACGTCACCGAGAGGTGTTGGCGAGCACTCAAGAGGCGCTTGCTAGCCTCATGTCAATCGTTGAGGAATTTCATAGTTGGAGTATTCCCATTCCATCCATTCTTCAAGTCACACTCACGAAGTTCGACTCTACCGTGGTCACTTTTCTTGATTTGGACGCCTCTCACATTCTGCTCGGTAGGTATTGTTCTCTATCGGCGAGGATTATCTGGGAGAGTACTCGGTTAGAGGGTGAGTTTGGAGCTATGGTGGATCGGTTTACCTCCTTGAATGAGATGGGCCTCACTCTCGTTTATGACGGTACTCAATCTCTCGACACGAGTGAGGTTCTTGACGATTTGGTTGTTAAAGAAATATCCTCTCTTGACGATTCAACCGTGCATTCCACGTTAGGTACGTCAATTCTTTCTTCCGGTGATAGTGCTTTGAATTTGAATTCTATTGTTGAGAGTGAGCATATGGAATCGTGTGATGATATGGTGTATGGTATGGGGGAGAATTCGTTTGAGGAGTTGGTTGTGCCTATTCATGTGTCGGATGAGTCAAATGGTTTTGAAAGTGCTCGGGAGGATGATTTTGAGGAGAAGGATATGGTAGTTGATGATGTTGTAGATGGTGTTGAGGAGGCTTTTGAGCCTTTATGTGATGTCGTTGACCCGAGGTGTGCGTTGATTGATGAGTCGACTTGTGATGTTGAGTATGACGTGGTTCCTATGTCCTTTGGGTCGTCGTTTCGTATTATTGAGGATCGTGACCATTTGGAGGAGTTTAGTGTGCCTACGCTCGTGCTCCCGATGTTTGAGCTTGATGAGTACACGTTCGATATAGTGCCAATGATGCCCGGGATTGATTGGACGTGCTCCACGGATATTTTCATATTTTCGGAGGTCGAATATGGGGCCTCGGTACATAATGATTCACTTCTCCTCTTTGTGGTTGTTGATATTCGTGCTCGGTTTCACAAGAATTTGTCCACGAGAGTGTTTTTGGTCCGCCTTTGTTCGGTGCTACCGGTTCGTCTACTCTTGGAAAATACAAAGGCGTGGCATGATCGACATTTTTTCTTGGAGCCCGGTTGATTTTTGTTGGGAACGTCGAGCTCAAGACATTAAATTAAGCGCTTTGTGGGAGGCAACCCACGGTTTTTGCGTTTTCCCGTTTTTGTTTTCGTTCGAAAATAAATAGCCCCTCAAGCCACACGGCACACGGTATTCTAGAGGCCCGAATTTTGATCTTTCACGCATACGTGTGTTTTCGTTGAGTTTGTGGATTCCCGGTTATTATCCCTCCGAGACGCATACATGTGGCCTTTACTCGGAGCCGGCAGAAGGGATTCTCTTATGCTTTCAAATGTAATAGTGTCTGGATGGTTTATGGATCGTCATGCTTTTATTGTTCAATCGGTCGGATGGCTTTGTTTTGCACTCAAGGACCTTTGGATTATTTCTCGTATTCCCACGGGACGAACACCATTAGACACACGGTGGAGCACCACCGTGTAGAGTACGCATTTTCTTTTCCTATTTTCTTTTTCTTTTTCTTGTTTCTTGCGTGTTCTTGTGTTTTCCTTTGTTGTGTATATTCGTTTAGTG